TGACATACCGTCTCCACTCAGAATCGTTTTTCTTATACAATGATATTGTATCATTGAATTAAAATTTAATAGCATCCATTATACAGTGACCCATTTGTAACCTACTGTACAGCAGAGCGACATCTTATAATGTTTATAATATTTATTTTTTGCAAATATAGGTACAACAATAAACTACCTTATAAATTAGGTATACATGTTATTATGTCAAACAGAATACATAAGGATAAGAGTCAAGAGAATTAATAAATAAAAATAAAAATAATTGCTATATAAATATATAATGCCATAGATTATACAAAAAATTTTTAATTCCTTAACATTTTTGAAGCTTAATAAATGTTTAGTTTTTCACATAAAATTGATCCTATGTTTGAGATTTGAAATAATATTATTAATAGTTAGCTATAATAAAACAAGTACCTATTATAATAATAATTGTAATGTTATCACATTGCGTCAATGGGTTGTATCTATTTATAATATTGGTTGTATTATTAAAATAATTATTAATATCATTTATTATCATTAATAGTCTCCTAGCTATAATAAAACAAGTAACTATTATAATAATGATTGTTATGTTATCACAATGCGTCAATGGGTTGTTGCTTGTACGGACCAGTGGCGCACCCAAGGGGGGGGGCTTTGGGGCTTAAGCCCCCCCCAAAAATATTTTTTCATTAAATTACACATTATTATAGAAAATATAGTATAACAATGATAAATGATAATGTTTTATTTTAAAATGTTGTTATTATGTTAGATACACATATAATATATACATAATAGTTCAATACTAAGCGATAAGGTTTGTGACAACCAATATACTCTACGGTGGCTATCGTCGATTTTTATTTCGTTGAAAATTATTTTTAGATTTATAGATACAATAACGATTACGTACGGTCGACTTTGATTGTTAACTGCGATAACAATGATAATTATGACTATCGACTGTCTGTGGCATGAAAATCTCGTTTAGATAACTCAGTCTGTTCGATTTTTAACAAAATTGGTTATTTAAAAATTAGTTTTAATTGTTTACTTGTGTAGTTGTGTGTAAGGGAAAAAGAAAAATTATTAAGCCCCCCCAAGCAAAAATTCTGGGTGCGCGCCTGGTACGGACAGTACAGTTTTTAATTATAAAAAATTACCATTATAATTTACAAAATGAATCTCCATTTGCCTAAGTCGTTCATTAACAAAATAGTAACTGAACTAGAATGTTATGAATATGTTATTCGATCAAACATTAAATCTATAGAAGAATGTAATTTGTGGGTTTCTGAATTTGGAAAATTAAATAATATTAAATGGAATGCTAGATCTTCTCGACCATGTGGGAAAAAAATGAATTGTTCGTAAGTATAATATTATAGGTACATTATACTAATCAGAGAATATATTACATTTATGTAAAAGTGGTAAATACTCACAAATGTTCATAAAATATAATTCTGAGATATAAGGTATTTTATAATTTACAATACATTTTAATATATTATATATTATTATAATATAAGTCAGTCATCTTTGAATTTAACACTAAATTTGTATGATTTAATAATAATAGTTATAATAATCTTATTAATTTGGTTGAGTTTAAATTATTAAGAAAATATAAATATAAATGTAATATATTCTTAGTAAGGCAATATTATGAGGTGATCTATCCACTACTATCCTGTCATTATGCCTGTCAAACTAAAACGTATCAATATAAAAGTGCATACAATATATATTATATATTATATTTACATTTTTTATTTAAATGTAATTACAATTTTTAATATTGGATTTTTTGATATTGTAATATTAGCATGAATTCAGTAAAATCTATATCTATTTTTCATTAACACTTATCAATGATTATTAGGTATTGTAATATGATATAATATTGTCTACAAGTAAATGAAGGATAAAAATTATATAGGCCAGTATGCCAGTATTTCAGTAATAATATTGTGCATTTAGGATAACCATATTAATATGATTATTACATTTTCGAAGTTAAAATAGATTATTCTTTATCATTGTTTCTAGAATAATAATTTTTACAGTGAACAAAGTCAATAATAATTAGTCTAAATATCAGGTAGGTACCACTTTTAATTGAGTTTTTAATTTAATTTATCAATTATTCTCAATAGCCTATTTTTTTTTTTTTTAAATTAACTAATGGTATTCTCTTTTCTTATAAAATATTTAAATATATTGTATATTACAATATATGTAAAAAAAATAATCATGCTTAGCTTATATTTATTTAAAAAACCATTTGCGTTAATAACTACCAAATTAAACAATTTGGTACCCACATACAATTTGATTAGTAGGTAAGTTTGAAATTTTAATTTAATAATTTTAAGCTATAAATTTTAATCAATAACTTATTTGATATTATTATGTTTCTTGCACTTTTAGTTTTTAAAAAATATATGGATCATTACTTTAAAATAAGTATACCTGGGTATTTGATTTTAAATAAAAAAGATAATTTTTTTTAGTTTGAATATATTTATTGGTTACAAGATTATACACCTAATGGATTAGGTAAAAACATTTTGAAAATAGTTTTATTTAGTTTTATAATATCTTTATAACTTTATAAAGATTTTACAATTTCTGATAAAAAAAAGATGAAAACACTAAAAATACCTAATTAACATAAGTTTTATGTACATACTTTTTTGACAATACTTTTTAGATTCTGAGTGGAACGATGAATATATTGATTTTTCAATGATGTGTGTTTTTATATTTTTTTTTATTTTTTTATTTTTGTGTCTGTGTACACGATAAGTAGTCGAAATAATTCCCAGTACTTTTCAAAAGCGCCAAGAAAAACAAAAGAAAAATTAAGGAGAAACGGGAATTTTTACGCTAAATCGATTTTTCAGAAAATTGAATTTGGTTTTTGGTGTTACTTTAAAACAAATGACCGTAGATACATGAAATTTTCACTGGTTGTTTATATTTGCATTTTCTATACACGATAACATTTTCAAAATATTTTGATTTATTTTGAACTGTTTAGGGACATTTTCATTTTTCATTTTTTTTTAGTTTTTTTTCTAGAAATATCAATAAAATTTTATTTGTTGGTTAAAAAAACTTGAAAATTTACGAGAAGGCTCCTAGATATTGTTTCAAAGGCAGATGAAAAATATTAAAAATCGTTAGTCACAGTTTTTTTTTATAAGCATTTAAAGTTCAAAAATTGACAAAATATGGAAAAATCACGAAAATTAGCAAATTATTTTGAGTTAAGAATTCGTAAAAATTTTTCTTTTTAAATCTAAGATTTGAAAATCTAATACAAGATTATTTATAAGATTGTCTACCTTTATCAATAAAAAAACCTCTACCGGAAAGTCAAATTAAATTTTTATGAGCGTTTGAAATTCAAATTTTTACAACATTGGATATTCACTCGATTTCTCATATAGCGATTTCCTTATTTTGTTGTAATTCAAAAACGAATAACTATAGATACATGGAAATTTCACTGAATGTTTAGATTAGCATTTCCTATACACTGTACAATTTTGAAAATATTTCTACTCTTTTTGAGCTGTTTACGAACATTTTTAGTTTTCAATTTTTTTAGTTTTTTTTCCTATAAATATCAATAGTTTTATCTGTTGGGCCAAAAAGTGTAAAAATTTAATACAAGGTTCCTGGTATATTGTTACAGTAGCAATTGAAAAATATTAAAAATACATTTTTTTTATTAGCATTTAAACATCGAGTTTTGACAAAATTTATCAAGATCTCGAAAATTATCAATCATTGTAATTAATAAATTATAAAATGTTCAGTTTTTATAGCTAAAGATTGCAAATTTAAAACAAAGGTTCTCATAAATAATTCATACTGTAACCAAAAAATCTAAAAAATATATGAACACAGTTATTTTTTACAGACATTTTAAATTCAAATTTGGACGAAATTAGGTACATATTAAAATCAATTTTAACGATCTTTGTTTTTGTTGTAATTTAAAAATATTATTCGAGGATATATGAAACTGAAAAATCAAAATATTATGGCCTATCCATACAATCTACCATAGTATAAGGAATAAGAATTATGCTCATGATAAGACTGTGCATATTTTAAGGAATTTATTCATAAATTCCATATAATTTAATACCATAGAAAAGTATATAATATGTCTTATACCTAGACTGACATACCGTCTCCGCTCAGAATCGTTTTTCTTATACAATGATATTATATCATTGCATTCAAATTTAATACCATCCATTATACAGTGACCCACTTGTAACCTACTGTACAGCAGAGCGACATCCACTTACCCACCTTTTTTTTATTGTGGTAGATAGGTAACTGATAAGTATTTTTTGATTATTTGTGTATGATCATAAATCTGTAAAATACTTAAACAAATTTGTTTTTTTTTTAATCAAAAATTACTAAGCAGTAAAACTCAAAAATATAAATTTAATATTTACCAATACCATGCTGATTTTAAATGAGTTATAATTTTTTAATAATTTAGATCTAATCTATAGTACCTGCCTTTTTATTATTTGTTTCCAGGAAAAAGTTTGTATGTCAGCATAGCTCCTTTCGTAAAGTTTCCAGAGAATAAAATAAAAAAGGGAACTCAAAAAATGCTAACTGTTTAGCTTCTGTAACATGTATGGTAAAATTAGATACTCATTCTACACGAAAAGTTGATTCCTATATTAAGGTTTGGTTATTTGTATATTTTTCTTATTACTTATTTAAATACATTATTAAGATACTCAACACCTTGATAAGTACTTATAATTATAATTCTCTTGTTTGAAAATTTTACTTACATATTATTTAATTAAATACATTTAGTAAAATTATTTTTCAGGATGGGTTATATGGTGTAATAAGAATTAAAAATAAACATAACCATAGTATTGACACTGCTGAAACTTTACGCTTTTTACCAGCAGATACTTAAAAATACCTTTTTTGATTATTTTAACGATAATATGGGTATAACTGATGCAATTAATTGTCATGAGCGCATTTTAGAATTAAAAGAAAATTTTTCACTGGAAGTCTTGGCTAATGGATCTATTAATCCAACTTATAGAACTGTCCAAAATTGGCACAATGAATGGAGTTTGGAAAATTTAGGTCCACGGTCTGGATCAGGTTTGATTGAGGTAATTTTTTGTAATTTTATACATATTTCATTAGTATTTAACAATTTAAGAAAGTAGTTGAAGATTTCATAGACAATTTATTATGAGTTATAACAATATATTTTGGATTTATACATGCTCCATCTTCAGAGTAGGTATGTCTGAATGTTGTGAATATATAAAATATTTTACTTTGGTCTTGTATTAAAAATATGGTTTTAAGATTTTTTATTATAAAACGATTAGGTTAGCTTTATAGTTACTAAAAAAAGAAGACACATATCAATTAAATAATAAATTAATACAAATCTTTGGGGGTTTTCTAATGGATCTATATAGTATATTAATTTAACATGATTGATTAAAAATGAATGCCAAATTTCCAAACTTATATCATAAAACTTCATACAACTTTTGTTTTTGTTTTTCTTGAAAAATTAAAAAAAAAAGCTGACTTCTTCTCTTTCTGTAGTTAGAAAATAATAGAAATTATAGGCTAATAGACCTATATTAAAAAAAGCTAAAAAGTTATTTTATTTTCTGATTTGAAATGTATACAATCCTACTTAATTAGGCATCCAGTAAAAGGGGCCCATTATCTTCTTGAAGATTAAATAAAAATAAAATAAAATAAATAAAATCTAAAGATATAATAACTTATGATATTACTTATGATATTTTTTTCTAGAAAATAATACAAAAGATTGATGTATACAAAGAGAGAAATGTAATAGTTAAGTTCAAGGAAGATCCATTTGCATTAGTTATTATTACCCCACTTATGCAACGAACCCTTTCATTAAAGTCATCTAGTATATACGAGTTTAACCACTGGTCGTACGCAGTGGCGTACGCAGGGGTAGGGTTCTAGGGTTCTGACCCCCCTGAAATTTTTTTTTCTATAAAAAAAAGTTATTTACAACCATTTTGATACACACATATTGCAATTGTTGGTCATTTTTAATGGATATAAAATAAATTGTTGAACATGTAAAAGGTGTCGATAATCGTAGTTTCTGTTCTTTTTTTTCGGCTGATTTAGAACATTATTAATAAACGCCTGCCATAATCGATGGCGTACCATCGTCCATCAATTATTACCACGTTTATTACGGCCGGAGGAGCTCTATAGATGAGCAGGTTAAATACACTGTAAATGTAGACTAAATCTGAGACTCATTGTAATTTGTTATGTAAAAACCGCCAAGGAAAAAATAATGCAAATTATTTACTCAGATAAAACCCTAACCGAACTAAAATCCTGCGTACGCTAATGGTCGTACGACGCTACCTGCTCGTGTTAAAACTCGAGCGACACGGACATGACCATCAGTACCGGGAAACAACTCCACTATACGACCGAGTCACCACATCAGGGGTGGGGGCTTTGGTTGTCTACTACCACGACCATATCGTCCACCTTCACATTGGGGACACCCTTGGTCCACTTGGACCTCTCCTGTAGCGTAGTCAGATATTCAGAGGACCAACGGCGCCAAAAGGACTGATGACATTGATCCATCAACTTCCACCGATCGGTTAAACAACGGGCGGGTTCTGGACCCGATCTAGGCGGAACGGTAATAAGCGGTTGACCTATTAAAAAATGATTAGGCGTCAAACACTCGAGGTCATGCGGGTCCGTCGAGGCGGGCGTGAGCGGACGCGAGTTTAGAACGGCCTCTACGCGCGCTAATATAGTCGTAAACTTCGTACGTGAAGATGTGTGTCCCTATGACTCGTATTAAAAGTCGTTTTGTCGATCGCACTGCCGCTTCCCATAAGCCTCCGAAGTGGGGAGCGCTAGGCGGATTGAAGTGCCACTCGCAGATAGCACGCGAATTGGCGATAGCGGCCCGACCTTCCGGGCTGTGGATAAGCGCGCGTAATTTCTTATCGGCCCCGACGAAGTTAGTGCCGCAGTCCGAGAACACGTCGCTTGGTAAACCTCGACGGGCAATAAAACGATCGAACGCAGCTAGAAAGGCGTCGGTCGACAGGTCGGGTCACCACTTCGAGGTGGACAGCTTTCGTAGTAAAACAAATAAAAACCGCAATATAAATTTTGAAAACGCGTGATTTGCGTAGTCTAGTCTCTCGCATTTGTAAGGGGCCCGCATAATCGACGCCTACACGCTCGAAAGGTCGTCGCTGTTGGACACGAGTGTCGGGCAAATCTGCCATTAACGGCTGTACACGTTTAGCATCGAACAGCACACAAACCGAACAGTTTGTAATAATACTATGTAACACCGATCGAAGCGATATGATCCAAAATCGACTTGAAATAAGCGCGGTAAGAACTCGCGGGCCCGCATGACAAGTCACCAGGTGCCAACGATGAGCTCCATGTCCCCGGCACCCCCACCTCAACATTTTTAAATTTGAAGTGGGCTATTCGTTTGTGCTTCGTTTGTGCTTGTTTGTGCTCTTCATCCCGACGTTTGTGCTTTCACCGTTCCCGAGATATCGAACTTTCCAAGTGGGGTCCCGGGGACATTCTCAGCACCCCTCAGATTATGTGTAGTGAGGTGATGAAAAAAAAAGTTTGGTTCGTGGGGAGTAAATTTTTTGAGGGGTTGGGGTGTAAAATTTTCAGTGGGTTTTTTGGGGATTAGGTTAGGTGATTTTGGGGGATAAGTTTCTTTTGTGGCGGGACGAGGAAGAACAAAATTTCGGAATCGGTGGTAGGTGTTGGGGGATAGGTTAGGGCTCGTAAGGGGCCAGGGTCCCCCAAGCCGCCTGAAATAACCCCCGGCCCGCGTCGAGAAGTCTAACTACTACCCTGGAATTAGTTGGAAGTTTCGTTTCAATATTCCTTAAATTTGTGTTAATGTGTAGGTAGTAGGTACTGGTCGTAATGTGCGTCTGACTTTTTCAAACTATTTGCGTATAAAATACATACCTACTTTAGTCGGACGATGATGGTTGGTTATAAGTAGGGCTGGGATTTCGATGCACTTTGCATTGTTTTCCAAAGCTTACAGTGCAAGTTCGTCTTGTCAACAATTTGTTTCATGTACTTTTGAATGAGAATAAGAAAGTTTATTTTGCATTTTTTGGAATTTTTTTGTTTTAAGGTCATTTTCTAAATTTTTTAGGGCATTTTAGAGTTGTTGGGGCATTTTTTGAGTTTTTGGAAACAAATGATGAGTTTGAAATTTTATTTCAAGATTTTTACACCAATATGGTGTACAATTTTTTTTTTCAGATTAAACGAAGTACAAGACTATGAGATCTAGCTTTGTGTACCTACAACTTTTTTTTTAAATTTATACTAACACTATGTATTTACACTTGTAATATATTTTTACAATCCATTTTATTTTAACTTTTTATTGTAATTCATATAATTTTATTTATACTAAAATTATAAAAAATAAAAATTATAACTTATAGGTATTTGAGAACTTACTTATAAATATAAAATAATATAAATACTCAATGATTATTTTGATTTCAATGGTTAAGAGGACGCTACACCCGCATGTGTTGTCTCCGTCTTACACACGTACGACATAGACAAAACGCGTTTAGGCAGTCTGAGTATAACTCGCTCAATTTTGGTTCTAGAGTAAAAATGCCTATTATGAAATTGAATTGTGATAATATTTCTAAGGGCAAGACGCTGCAGTTTTTTTAAAAAATTTAATTTTTTAAAAGTCAAAGGTATTTTAAAAATGGTGAAATTTTTTCTATTTCTAAACGATATAATGAACGTTATATTGGGTATAATGGAAAAACCGCACCGTCTTGCCCTTAGAAATATTATCACAATTCAATTTCATAATAGGCATTTTTACTCTAGAACCAAAATTGAGCAAGTTATACTCAGACTGCCTAAACGCGTTTTGTCTATGTCGTACGTGTGTAAGACGGAGACAACACATGCGGGTGTAGCGTCCTCTTAATAGCTTAAGAAACAAATGATACAACTGTCGCAAATTAATAGATAGGTATTAATATTTGACACTCTGAAAATTTAAAAAAATATAGTATATTAATATATTAAATATTAATTACAATTTTTATTTAATCTACCTATAAAATATGTACCCACTTAAATGTATATGCCAACACAGAATTTAAATACATTTTTATAAGCATAGGTATATTTTATACCTAGTTTATACCTAAAGTTTAATAATTTATAGATCACCTAGATGTGAAACATGAATTACATGAATGATTACATGAATTTTAATATGGTTTCATTTATTTACATTTAGGTACCTATTTAATAGGTACATAACATATTATAACAATATAAATAATTCTACTATATCATAACATTTTAAACAAATAGTTTTAGACATTAAGGGTCGATGGTGAGAAAATATTTTTGTTCTGTTGATCTCTTAGTGTAAAGTGTGATTGGAGATGTATTAGGGTGCACCTATTATTAGCAGAGTGAAGTTGATTGAAATTCCAGGTTATTTTGTAAATTTGATGATTAAGCTGCTCGCTCATTACAATTGAATACTGTAATACCAAATGGCCATTAATAATGTTTTGTAAAAATTAATTTGTTTTAAAGGTTTATATTTGATTTTTTGTATTTAATAAAAAGTAGAGGTTTCTGTGTTTTTTGGTTGAATAGCAGTCTTTTTGCTTTAATATGGTGGGCCCAGTTAAGTCGTTTGTCTAAAAACATACCTGAGTAGTGAGTAGAGGGAATTTGTTACAATAGGAATAAAAGAGTTGTTTAGTACTAGAAAAAACGTCTTTACGAGCAATGATTTAGTAGTGTTAATTTTGACTACACTTAGTGTACCAAGAGGATACTACCTAAGTTAAGGTACAGATGATACAGTATGAAAAGTAATAAATAAAACGTACAGAGTGTATTAATATTATAATTATTTTAATTTGTTTTACACCTAATTAAACTCAAATAATGTCATGAAATTGTTATTTTGTCTTTTTACAATTAACAAACATTATTTAACTTAAGTATTTTATTAGCTAATAATATCCAATTATGTTTTTGTCTTGTAATATTTCCTCCCTATTTGGCCTATTTTATTATTATAGATAGATTTATAGATATTTAGACCTAAAATAGACATCTTATAAATCTGAAATGTTTACTGAGTTGTGCATAGTATAGCATCATATTATATTGTTCTGTATTAAATATATAAATTATTATATTAAATAAAGTTTACCTATTTATTTTATATACTTAAAATACTATTATACTATTATATTATAATATTATTGTATAGGCATTAAGCATTAATGTTTAGCAATATAAAACATAAAATATAAAATATTGAACGTTAGGTACCTACCTACTTTTTAATTGTATAGTAGGTATATTAATTATAAAATCCAAATTAATATAATCATTATATTATATTATAATCATTATTTTATATAAACCATTAATTATTGTCAGTTTAATATGTTTTACTATTATGCATCTTTAAGAAAATGTATTTAAATCAAACCACAAAATTGTAAAAGCAATATGTATAACTAATTAAATGTAAATTATAATAAAATTTTATTCAGTTTTTGTAAAAAAAATAGCTGTGACTTCCACACCTCAACTAAGAAGAAAAATATATATTTATATAATGTGGTATCTTTGCAATTATCGCTGCGACGATACACTATTAATTCTATTTTATTTATATTTTATATAATTATTGGGGATTTATCAATCGATAACTTCAGAATTGAGATAGTATTAGCACTAAGATCGTTTCAAACGATAAATATTTCTGATAAATATTTCTCTGTGTCTATTTATCACTTTTCAAATCACAAATTCATAACCATGTTCTAAGACAAAAATAATTTTATGCGGCGAAATGGGTCGGCGGCAAAATGGGATTAATTTGGCGGCGAAATGGTACCGCGGCG